GGGGTGACCCGGCGTCGGCCGAGCTCGCTCTGGGCTGCGAGATGAAGCTTTGCCGTGGAAGCGGGCTGGTGGCATGCAAATCAATTCTGGTAACCCCGCCGTCAGCGCGCTTTGAAACCTCTCTCCTCTGCCCGGTTGTTGGGGCATAACCCCTGACTTCATCGCACCCAGAATAAACGGTTACGGCCCTTTACCGTAAAGCTGGCCGATAGCGGCTGTTACTTCAGGTCTTCGTGCATCTTGTCACATAGAGCAAGAGTAGGGTGTGGGCCTGCTCCGCTCTGCGTTGTAAATGCCTATGTCCAAAAAAGCGGAGAAGCTGGGATTTTCCGAGCAAAAGTGGGGAGTGCAAGGCCAGGGAGCCCAGGATCGTGGCCTTGACCGTGGGCACCTTTCAGCTGGGCACTGGGGGGGAGGAGGGGTGGCCTGCCAGCAAAGAACAGAGTTTTGTCTCTGTTCAGGCAGAGTCGTCGCAAGTAAATAATGAAAGAAATATTCAGTCTGAAAGAAATATTCAGTCTGGTTTATGAGTTTTACTGGAACAGCTTATTAAAACCAGAGTTTGCTGTCTAATAGCTGAGGTCAAAAGGGAACAATGCATTTAGTTTTTAACAATGTTGAGAGCTGGATACAGGGTGCTGAAAGCACTTGAAAGAGGCAGCATGTCCACGTGTTAGACAATTGCAGCAGTGCTTTCCTGAGCTTTACCCACAAAGCAAGATCCATTTGCCTAAAATGCTGCTTGCAGTTGGTTGCAGAAACACTGGTTATGTCCCCAGGCTCCTTGGATTCTGTAAATGCATAACGCAGATATCTGGGACCTCGTGCAGTTTATATCCGTGTCCAGGGGGAGTGGCTGAGCTCGGCTGCCCCTGGGGGTGGGCTGCACTGCCTGGGTCTTGGGAAGACTGCTTAGGTTTACCTGACATGGACTAGGAGCAGTAAAAATGGTAATCCGGCTGCTGACTTGTCCCTTGGTAGTTTACCTTGAATATCTGGTTGGTTTGACCTGGTGGCTGGTTGTTAACCGGTAAACCTTGCAGGGAAGCTGGTTTCTTTCTTTTTTTTTTTTTGTTTTTTTTCCACATTTTAGCAGTAAGGGCTCTCGATATGTTAAGTACTGCCTTTCGAGATCTGACTTCACATCTTTTAAGGGTGTGATTTTATTGCTAATAGAATAGGCTACTTTTACATTGCATTAAGCAATTTTAAGGTAAAAACACAATACCAGTAAATCACTTGTAAAACAAACCCGCCGTAATTCAGCCTAGTCCAGCACAACAGTTACCTTGGTGTAAGGCTACAGAACAATGCTGTGGTGTAGCTGATGTATGAGAAGCCCCCTAGAAGCAAAAAGCGCAATTTTCTGCGCATCAGTGCAGGAAACCCTCAGATGCAAGGAGCAGAATATACTTCCCAGTTAGGTTTTGAAAACACAAGCAGTTTTCTTGGTGACTAGCACTCTGGTTGGCCACAGCTTCTATAACTGTACCCTTCAAAGACTTCATCATTTCAGCAAAAACTTGGGGTTTTAGTGAACAAAAACATGATGAAGGGGATCCTAATAGATATTGCTGTGTATTAGCTGAACGAAAACGCTAGTTGTATCTGTAATGACGAACTAATACCGTGGCCTTACATCGTTATTACATTGGTGCAAGCAGACGTGCTGGCTTACAGTGGAAGGATGACAGCAGAAGGGGAATTCTGAAACATGTTTATGACTCTTTGCCTTGCAATGATACAGTAGGTTTTTTTCTTCTTAATAGGGCTTTCAGTGTGCCAGTAGCGTAGTACGTATCTCAAGGCTGAGTGCATAATGAGGAAATGCCTAGTCATCTTAATCTTCTGTTGCAAGATGCATTTTTCCTTAGAAAAGCCAGACAACCTAACAGCAGTTGTCTGATTAGCTGAATACCTGCTGCATTTCCTACAGCTGGGTACTTAACAGGTCTGCATAGACAGGCCTGTGGCTCATCAGTGGGCCGGGGCGCTTGTTGATGGGAGCTCTTAGTCTGTATTTAAGTATCCTGGAAGAAGTCATCCTTGGTCAAGGTTATAGTAGTAGTAGTAGTAGTAGTAGAAGAAGATTTGGAGACTGTGATAGCAGTTCAGGCGCTTCTTGGACATTGAAGGCCAAGATTTCCAAGGCAATGTGCGCACTTCATTTTTTGCAGCTGACTTCCTGTTGCACGTGATGATCTTGGTGGTCTTGATTCATTCTTTTGTGGTTCAGATTATTAGCAGTCATAGCAGTTCTGTCCAGCTGCAAACAAAAACAAATTAGATGATAGAAAGTGTGGTATTTAGATATCATCTATTATAATGACTCCTCAGGTATAACAAAAGGGATGAATAGTCATAAAATAGATAAAACAGTATTTGGCTTCTACTATTGCAGCAGTTTTTAAAACGCCCATCTCATGCAACTTACTGTGGGTTTTTAAGATGGTGTTCTAGGTCTGTCCTCTCGGTACAGCATATCACCTGTGAAGATTTTTATCGTAAACAATGATTTTAAAAGCTCTGTTGGAACAGTGTGAAACTTCTGAGCCCTGAGGAAATAAAAACCTGCTGTAAATAGAAGCTGTAAAAATGCACTAAATACTGTGTATGGTGTTTATTCCTGATTTCTGTGGAAACACTTGAGTTCATTTCACTAAATATTTTAAAAAAAAAAAAAAAACAACTTTTAATTTTACCCCTAGTCTTCATAACTCCCTTCATTTGTAAGTTGAATGTGGTTTGCCTTTTGTATTGAAGATCTTTTGAGAACTTCTGATAGAACCTTCTGCACAGAATTGCAGTTACATGCACTGATTCAAGCTTGTTTTTAATAAAATTGTTAGGGAACTACCATCAAGGTAGAGGAGCAGCATTACAAGAGAAGTGTATGTGCTTGGTTTCTTTTGGAAGGATAAATGAAAGCGGGTGAAGGCAAGCACGTTCAAACCTCTCCACATATGCTGTGTGGCTGCTGCCACTTAGAAGGTGGCCAGGTAGGTATCAGGAACAAAATTCTTCAGCGCCTTGCTGCTTGGTGTTTGCCGGTCTGTCAAGCTCCCCACCAAAGCCAGTCCACAGGCTGTCTCCCCTCCAGCAGTCTGACGAGAGCAGGAACTGGGCTGTTTATCTCTAGTGCCTGGCCTGCCAGAAGCGTGTAGCAGGGGTGGATGCATGCCAACCCAGGTGTGCTGCCCCGAAGGGGAAGGCTGCAGTGGACAGAGCCCCCTCTCTGACAAGGGTTTCCCATTTGTCCGCGTGGCATGTGCTTAGTGCTCTTGCAGCCTGTGCTGAGCACCATCCTCTGCCTGCTGAAATTCTGTCCTGCAGTTCTGGGCAGTGCTCCTAGCTCTATGCTAGCCCCCAGATGGCTGTACTCTGCTTTAATAGAGGCCAATTTTGCTTGATTCGGAACAGATTGAAGTGAGGCTGTAAATGATTGAAGAGGTCCATTCTGTAAGGAAATACAGCCTTCAAAACCAGGCTACATTATTTTTACATGGTATTGTTCACCCGTAGCACAGAGTTGCTACCCTGAATCCATTTTCCAGGGTATAGGCTGCCTTTATGTCACCTTTTGGTTTTTTTCCATTGTGTATTGCTGCAGAATCCCGCAGAAGCATTCTTGGGTAGCGCAGATTTGTCTGATCTTGTTTCCCTTGTCTTCTCCTTCAGTGGTGGTGAAAGCTAAGGAGAATCACTTTTTCTACATTCATGAAGTCACCGAAGCTGCTACCCTTTCCAGATGCAGTTAAAGTAGATATATGAGCTCAGATGGAGCACAGGGCTGGCATAAGGAAGGCACGCTGTTTTCCCAGTCAGGGGCCCAGAAGGGACTGATTTGTTAGCATAGTATCTGCCTGTCTTTTAACAGGCTAAATGGAGAGTTACCCACTTGGCATGAACACGTAGCTAAGTTCAAAATGTTGTCCCTCTTGGCCTATTGAAATGGCTTAAAACTGTTTTCCGATGACATATCACTTGCGGATTATAAGGATTTGTTTGTTTTTCATGGAAATCCAAAAAAGGAGCAGACTTTCAAATGATATTTTTACTTGGTTTTTGTTTTTCTAAGCTTTCAATTTGTGCTTTCAATCTGTATTTCAGTGCGTAAATTATGTTTAATAGGCACATGCAACTCGAATGAACTCTGTGGTTCTTTAAGTCGCTGTTGCCTCAGATAGCTGTACAGTTGTGATGGGCTGAACCCGGCTGGATGCCAGGGGCCCACCAAAGCCACTCTGTCACTCCCCTCTTCAACAGGACAGGGGAGAGAAAAATATATTCAAAGGGTTGTGGGTCAAGATAAGGACAGGGAGAGATCATTTTGCCAGTTACCATCATGGGCAAAACAGACTCAACTTGGTGAAATTAGTTTAATTTATTACCAATGAAATCAGAGTAGAAGGGGATAAAAAAACCTGAATCTTAAAACACCTTCCCCCCACCCCTTCCTTCTTCCTGGGTTTAACTTTACTC